TAACAGCGATAAACTTTACCATACTTGAAAGCTGATATAACATCAAAAAAGAGTAGAACAAGACTTGACGCCATTACTTTTAATTTTAAGGTTCCAACGTGAATAAATCCGTAAAAACCGTTACGTTTAAAAATGGACCTCGGTTACTCTACTCACCGGATGGAACTTAAATGCACAATAGTGATGTACCTCCATGAGTCATGCATAGCTCTACCACAGGTTAGTTAATAGGTATTACGATACACCGGTATAAATCATTATTGCATTGATTTTAAGGGAAGGCGTTAGGATGTTTATACGAATGTGATATGTTATGTGATTTTTGAAGTTTTAATTGTAAAAGAGAAAAATGATGAGAGGGAATTTTGAAGACGCGCGCGCACACTGTCACCTAAAATTGACATCATGGACCTGGTCTTACCACGGCAAAGTATAACATTAATTTAATGTCTTTTTTTTTCACAAACAAACGGTACCGGCACACGGGATGTTATTTTTAGTTGTTTTTATTAGTTTTACGCTAAACAAGAATAACTTCTTACATACATACATAGGTAGGTAGACACACACATACGTCTTTTTTTTGTCAAATTGTACCTATGTAAACATTCTCGGCCTCTGCGAATTGCACTTAAATGGTGCGGTGCCCGTATTCGTTTTCTTCATTTATCGCCGTATTAATATTATCGGCGTGCAGTCATTATTGCACAACGACGAGCGGCCTAACGTTCAGCAGCGGCCTTGGGTTTCGCAACGGCTCTTGCCGGATTCGGCGGCGTAAAAACGTCCCATCCTCATTCTCTAATTGTGATTTTCCCATGGGGATCGTTTGTTTTCCATTTCATTTTGAACTCCATTGCCCTTAAAAGAAGGTTTCATTGGCTTAATTGCTTCTTGCCGTTCACCCTCTGAAGTATGTGGTTTTTTTTATTTGCTAAATGATACACTTCTTTGAAAGAAGACAAACCTCGTAGCAAATTGGTAGTGGAATCATTTAAATAAATAAAAAACAAGTATCGCAAAATTGTCAAAAAAAAGCTCCCAAATCATTATGAAAATATTTAAATAAAGAAAATTAAGTCTCAGCTTTATTTATATCTAACAAGCAACAGTCTAAAGGTATGGATGGTTAGTATATTATTTATTCATAATGACAAGAATTAATTGTGTTTACGTGTCGTGCCAGCAAACTTTACGCCATGATTAGATTAAGTGTATCAAAAGTAACGTAACTTAATGACATACAAGAAACAGTTTTCGTATCATGCAGGTCAACGTCTAACTAAACCAACGCTACGAATTCATGTTAAGTAACCAAGGCCTTGGATTGTATCTACGATAAATTTTAGTGCAAGTTATAAATAAATATATATATAGTACTTTTTGTTTTTCTCTACGATTTTGTTTTTAATACAAGTCATAAAAGTTTATTAACTTTTTTTTTATTATTTTTAAATAGATGAGTTGTTAATTTATTTCACGCTAATGATGTTCTGCAGGATGAGATAAATTCAAATTGAAATGTCCATAATTATGGTGTCAATGACTGAATTAACCTAAATAGTAAAGGCATATCTTCATAATATTTCGATTCAATAATTGTATGTTCAGAATTACACAATGACACATTTGAATTGGTAATACGTCCCTCCGCGGGACAGCTGTCAAATTGGATATCACAATGTAATTTATCTCATAGGTAGTTTTTTTACATGCTTAATTTGCATTACAATTTATTGTGAACGTCATCGGAATTACTGTTCACAGTTTATTAATTTGTGAAGCGTAAACTTTTTAATGTAAAAGAAATTTGACATTTTATAAAAAATTATATTTAACATTTTTTAATGTAAAAATTTGGCAATCGAGCAGGCGGTTCACGTCATGTTAAGTGATTAACGCTGCCCGTGGACATCTTCAACTCCTTCAGAGATTACAGATGCGTTGCCAACTTTAAAAAAGTGACCTCCGGCTACCTCACCGATCAGACGAAACGCGAAACAATAGTACTTTCACTTCACGCCGGTTGTGTTAGGCCGTGGTATTTCCCCGGACGGGCCTGCCCTTCGTGTAATTTATTTTTGCAAGAATGGACATAATTTATTATAACGTTTTTTATTGCGAATGTATAAAAAATGTACCATTCATTGTTTACGTTTTAACTGATGTCAGTTCAAAAACATCAATAGTCTGTGGTCAAACAATTGCAGACGGCGAAGATCGTCGCCACAGTTTTTTTAAATGTCAGATCGACTGAATGAGTCACAGAAATAATAATTCATCAAATTTAATTCAATGGTTTAAACCAATGGGCGACTACTGGTAGTAGATAATCTACTGTATTAAAGGGCATATTAGATGAATTAATGTGCAATTAAATGTGGTAGGAGTTTGGAACAGTTTTGCCTGTTGCACGAATGGACAGGTCCGTCTGGGGAAATAACACGACCTCACTGAGGGCCAGCGTGGAGTGGAAGTTCTATACTTCTGCGTTTCGTCTGGTGATTGATGAAACAGGGGCACGCTATACTAAACCGAAGTAACGAATATGCAAACTTACGGGTGTTGCAAATGTCCAGGGGCGGCGGTTATCACAATGTCAAATGAACCGCCAGCTCGTTTGCCATCTTCTTACATAAAAAAAAATGTTGTTCGATCAGAGACAAGGTCGATTCTAGGGCCTGTTGGATTTTCAGGAATTTGAATTGTTTATTCGGTCATTTTGTCATTACTAACCGTTATAAGACTATGAGTCTCATCATATATTATATCATTAAGCTTCTCTACAACATCACAATGCTTACAGATGAACTAAATGAGCTCTGTCTATCCTGTTAGGATTGAAAAACGTGAATATTCTTCTTAGTGAGTGTTGTGTAGAAATCTAGTTCCTAACCCCCGATTCGTTTAACCTACTACACCATGCAACGTGGCCTTCGTTATGTAATAATTTCACGTTCATCGCTTTATATTACGTAATATTTGGTTAACCGAAAACCGCTCGTGAATAATTTTTGCCGGGAAGCAATGCCTCCGGGAAATACTCTATCAGATTTACGCCTAATTTATTGGTTTGTTACGGGCTTTTCATTCATTTATAGAAATGTTTTTGTTTATATGAAAAGAGAAACAGTTTTTTGTTAGTCAGTGGAAAGAACTGTGGTAGCTCAAATTCTGGGTTCTTTCTTTTAACAAAACTAGAGCAACTTGAGTTCAAGTCCCCATGAAATTTTTGAGTATGAATGCTCGTTTACTACGTAAGTGTTGTCATACATAATAAAACCTCCATATATGATCTATGTATATAAAAATGAATCCCTATTTCTCTTGGTCACGCCATCACGCGTGAACGGCTGGACCGATTTCACTTTTTTTTTGTTGTGTTTGTTATTATCAGGAGAAGGTTTTTATGAAAGAAAAAAATTAAAAAATTGCCTGAAAAGTGTAAAAACAACACTTTTTAAACGGTTTTATTTAGCTCGACCCGTACGGAATTTGTTTGCGTCAAAATTAGAAATTGAAATTTAAGCACCTTGCCGTTGTCAGATTGATCTGAAATTTGGTACACACATTTAATTTAGATGACAATACAATATTAACAAAAAAAACTTAACAAAAAAAAACATAAAATAAAACCGTTTAACTTAAAAGTTTTTTAAAGTAATTATTTATATTCCCGTTTAAAAGATTCGTTATAATGCTTAAAAGTCAATTTGAACTTTAATACCTAACCATAAAGTTTAAGTGTTAGTGGAGGGGTTCCGGGAAGGCAAAACAAGTGAGTGACTGTGGTAAAATGTCATTTAAAATTTAAACGTCTCATTGCTGTCCATCACTACATAGTATAAAACAAAGTCGTCCCGCTGTCTGTCTGTCCCTCTATGTATGCTTAGATCTTTACACAACGGATCTTTTTTTTACTCGATAGAGTTATTCAAGAGGAAGGTTCATAATATGTATAATACATTGCACCCGAGCGATGCCGGGGAGGGTCGCTAGTAAGTAATAAAAAAATCAAAGATCGTAGGCGCGCGTGATCGACTTTACCCTACTTTACCACGTGTCAAGAGGAAAACAACCCTTAATACTAGAACATATAATGTATATTTATTTACTTTATTTTTCCTTCTTTAAACCTGCAATCATTGTAATCTACGATTTCCTAACGCATAGATTTCCCTCGGGAAATATTTACAAGCCTTCACTTAACTTTATATTCAATGGCAATATTTTTATTTGACCGTACGTCAATTGATTCACTTAAGTTGCATTTGAAATTTCATTCTGTATATGAAATCCTAATTTGTGCCTAAAATTATTCCTCAGCTAAATGCAACTGAATGATTTGCAAATCCATAGCGTAATGGGGCCCTCCTTGCGACAAACTTGCGACCGTCTGTAGCAAATGACAGTTTCAAAACTTTTTATTGCACTAAAAGAAAAACACTTAGTGCACTACAATTTCTAAATTAGGCGTTACGGAATTCGCGAGGCCAAATTTGGCTGTTTGATTTTTTTTTCACAGTAAACGGTTTTTTAAGTGTCGTTGAACGAAGACAATAACATTGGTATGTTATATAGGACGCCAATTTCCTTTAAAGCTTGTTGTTTTAATAGATCGAGTTAATGGCCGTTTAATGTTGCCATTTTCCTTTTTTTTTGTTATCTTGGCTTTACGATATATCCGGTGTCCTTAATCGAATACTGTTTATGTTTACATATTATGTAAATTTATTCTTTTAGTTGATTACAGTTTTAACACTAGAAAAGTTTCAACTTTTATTGTCTATGGCTGTTAATTTCATTTAAACTTTTTAATTATTTTACTTTTTTTTTAGTTCTAATAGTGCCTGCTAAATTTTAAAATTTAACGTATTTATAACGGTTTGTTGGTTTGTTTAGGATTGTTGTAACATGACATTGAATGACCGTTGAAATGGTTAGGTACTTGCATGATTGCACCTGGATGCAAACTCGACTGTAGTCCGTTTGATCTACAGGAGCTGGAGCGAAACACAAACCAAGCGGAATTGAACACCATAGCCACATACTACTTCGACGGACAGGGAAAGGCTCTGAGGCCGATGGTCGCGATCCTGATGGCGAGGGCCGTCAACTACCACGTTTATGGCGAAAATAGGTAAGTCCATTTTCGTTCATAAGTTATTTTACTAGGGTTCCATACCCAAAGGGTAAAACGGGACCATATTACTGAGACTCCGCTGTCTGTCTGTCTATCCGTCTATCACCAGGCTGTATCTCATGAACCGTGATAGCTAGACAATTGAAATTTTCATAGATAATGTATTCCTGTTGCCGCTATCAAATAATAAAAACGGAAAAAAAATATTCAAGTGCGCCGTTCTTATAGATAATGGCACGGAACCCTACGTGCGCGAGTCCGCACTCGAACTTGGCCGGTTTTTAAGCATGACCGGAATTTTTATAAGGTGTTTGTGATAAGCGCACCCTTATGTGTGCAGCAATTAAATTTTACAAAATAAAAAACCTGTAATAGTCACGGTAATTATCAAAAACTATACATCAATCATGATAATGATGTCGGATATTACTGAATATGTACACAGATAGTGCTTAAACATCGATTAAATAACAATTATAATATATTTAAAAGATATTTCTATCATCTGTCAGGCGTACAAAACGTGATTTTAACAGCGTCTTTCGCTTTTATTTAACCGAGTTATTAATGAACATCAATGAGTAACTAAATCAATTTCAAATTAACTTAACTGTTCAACTATTTGAATTCTTACTTAAGTTAAAATGTATTTAGTATCATTAACTACAACCGATGGGTTTTATCGCTTTTAATTTCTGGTAATTGAGTTTAATATTTATAGCATCCATTTTTCATCCACGGATACAGCGATACGTTTAGAGTATCAAACAGAAACTAAAATCAGTACGCTAAACTTACGTCAGAATGTTACGTTAAACATTTTTTTTTATGTGACAAGTTTTCAAACAAGCAGACGGTTCAAGTGATGTTAGTGATTACCTGCATCACCTAAGATTTTGTAGATGCATTGTTAATCATTAAAAAAGTGGGCTCCGATTATCTCACTCACCAGACGCAACGCGAAAGTATAATACTTTCACTACTGTATTAAAATTTTTGTTATCCACGGTTGAAACAAAGCTTCGCAAAAAATCGCAAATCACTACATAGTATAAAACAAAGTGGTCCCGCTGTCTGTCTGTCCCTATAATTATATGCTTAGACCTTTAAAACTACGCAACGGATTTAATAAACAAAGTGATCCAAGAGGAAGGTTTATATCTATAATATAGTAGGGAAACATTAATACTTTTAGAGGTTTCTAATGCGATGTCGAATACAAACATTCAGCATTCCGCCCGTGCGAAGCCGGGGCGGGTTGCTAGTTCATTATAAAACTATACGCGATCGACTTCCATTCAATGTTATTTTGAAATAAATTAAGCGTTTTCTCGTTTATATCATTCTCAATGGTAAGAGTGCTGCAACACCTATCAAATTAACACAAAGATGAAACTTATACGAAATATTTCGTTTCATATCGTATAACTTAATGGGGCCGACGGCACCCAGTGCGGCAGCTTTAAAGCCAAGGTCGTAAACAACACACCCAACAGACTCCTTGCACAATTTCAAGTCCGGCGCTTTCGCTTTGCAATCGCGCATCACGTCCAAGTGCCATAGTTCAATGTCTAACGAACGAGCCATGCACGATGCGTTTTGCTTTGGCCGTCTTCGCACTCTCACCACAGATAGCACTCTCACCTTCGATTCAAAGTGTGAATATGTGCCAACTGTGAAATACCCGTTCGAAGGTCTAGTTGGCAGATATACTGCACGTTAGACGGACCGCATGTGAAGATCGTAATGTAAATTTGCCTCCAGCTAAGAAACCGTTAAACAGTAATTTAAACTTGACCAGCGGAAAGTCTTTAATCACTAATTTCAAATCAATAACAATTTGAAAATGTGTAATATTTTGCGACAGTTTAATCTACACGCTTTTAAGTTTCAGTATCGTTGTAAGTGCAGTTACTAGTAACAAAAAAATAAAAATTGAATCAATTACAATTTTCAAAAAAAATGAAAGTTGTGCGAAGTGTTTATACAAAACATCGGAACAATATATTTGTAATTTTTCCTCAACGTCATTATGACTCAAGGAATTTCAGGAATGTTCCCACGAGTTCATTGAGAAGGGTTGAGGAAAATTGTTCTGCAGGATTGTAAACTCATTTGCCTACAATATGAGTAGGATCGTAAAAAATTGCATGTTCTTCTAGTGCTTTCACGTCCTCTAGACATTATAATCGGAGCGATCTGAGCATGAGCTGAATTCTAAAACTAATAGGTGGCAGTGTTGTGTTTCTCTCGACCGTTCTCAGTTTTTGAAATTCCAATAAAGTAACGCTTGTTTGCAGCAGACCTGTATATTCAAAGATGCATGTATGTGATTTGTAAATATAACAAGGGAACTCATATTCGGGTTTCTCTTAGCGTTAGTAAATTCTTAGCAAAATTCTTAAATTCGTCACGGGAATACTCTAAGCTCGGCTTAATTAACTTAGGTTTAGCCAAGCTTAGTTTGTTGAACATTAGCTTGTGAAGCCAATATGTATTAGCTTAATAATTGTCATATATTTTTTATTTTATAAATAGATTTAAGACGTCACTAGATTATTATCAAGTCTAGGTCGTTAGATTTAAGACGTCACTACAAAATTGAAATTTTAAGTGGCCAAGAGTAATTATTAAGTGTGCCAATATTTGTTAACAGTACAAGTACAATTCAAATATTTGAAAATCTTCATCAATTCAGTTCACATGAAGTAATCCTCAAACTTTAAGAACGCGTGTCTGTAAAAATATAAATAAGTAAAAGACGCACGCTTCATTCGCCAATTTAAATATTTATATAATACCTTTGTTTGACATCGTAATTATGTCAATACCAGCTCCTCAGTGTACTTTACAGTGTACTGATTATTACAGTAATTAAAGTACTGGGCTTTTGGTCTAGTTCCGACCCACACAATTGCAACGAAGGAGCATTGTCATTTCTTTTTGTCTTAACTGTACCATGAAGATGTTAGCAGTCGGGATCAAATTAATGCAGCATTAAATTAAATAAATCTTTGCAAATTAAACTGTTAAGTTATTCTATTATACAGAAATTTAATTTTCTAGCTAATTTATTGTACATTGCTTAAATATATGAGGATAGGAAATGACTACTTTTCAGAGTTCAGAGCATCTATGTTCACCGCCAAAGAGTATAATATATTGTACGTAAATAAAATTTTTACGAAAATAAAATTTTAGAATTGGCATATCATTTTATATAAGATACATTCGGTTCGGTAATAATTGTCGCCTAGGTGATAACCTTTAAATAGCATGTAATGAAATTTTAGAGGGTACGCGTTAGTTATTTAATCTAATATTGTAACTGTCGACAAGGTAATTTGCAAAGTAAAGTGATGATATTCTTCGTAGAACTTTATTACTGATAAATCAAATATCTTTGTTATATAAATGCTTATATTTTAATATTTCAAAAGTTTCGATGTTATCCTAACAAAATACACCGTGAAATACACTTTTTCATATCGCTGAAAATAGTGGAAATTTCGATTAAGATTACGATGCAATTTTCTTTGCAAAGCAAATTATATTTTAGTAGTTTTACTTTCGCCAAATCTGAAATGGACAAATACTTTATTCTAACGTTTTGTACATTTGATTATGAAATCATTGCAAATATTTTTACTCAACTTCAAAGATTTTTACTAATTCTTTCACTTTTACTCGAGCGTCTTGTCAAACTTTTTCAAAATTTTTTCGTTATTTTATTTAAACGAAAAGTAATATTTGAATGTACATTAATTTTCGCTTGCTTCGTTAAATAGAACGTGTTTACATGTTAATTTAAAAAATCGCTTTCGGCCTTTATTGTAAAATAGAAATTGGGATTAGAAACAAGAATAGCTTTTGAAAATGGGACTGTTAGATGACATTTGTTGATGATTTGTAAATGGTTACAAAATCAATATTCATCATATATATATCTATATCTGTTTGTTTCATCCCGTAGTGCATTGCTGCCATCACAGCGACAAGTGGCGATGATCAGCGAGATGATCCATTCGGCGTCACTGATCCACGATGACGTCATCGACCAAAGCGACTTCCGGCGCGGGAAGCCCTCCGTCAACGTGCTCTGGAATCACAAGAAGGTAATCATTAACACATATCTGCTCACTGCGTAATAAAATGTGTGTTTACTCAACAGTTATATCAGCAAATCGTAATATTTAACATGAAAGGCCCTTGATATGTATATCTTTGTCAGTGTCTGGAAAAATAAACTACCTCCGCGCGGAAATATTAGAATTCTTTGGGCTTAACCTTTAAAAATGTAATGTGCAATGTGTATATTTCTCAAAGCATTTTTTGTCTCCATCAGTCGCGGTCTTATTTGTAACGTTCACGCTTCGCTTAGTTAGTTACCTTGACACAGTGACCAGGTCTTCCTTTTTTAAACTAAACAATGACAGAGCCAGCCGGAAATAACAGACTCAGACACAAAAAGTCCCAGAGACTCATAAGTCCTCGATTGTTGGAATATATGCCAATGTTAGCGCTAACAGAATTTTCAGCGACATGCAAATTGTATTGTCACACTTCTCAATTTATATGTAAAGCGAGCTTCGCTCATATCATCAGTACATATCAGAATATCGTGTCATCATGACTTGAATACTTTATGTGTCGGCTAATAAAATTTTTAAGCGATCGACGTCTATTGTAACGTTAACCGCGAACGATGTTAACATCATAACATCTCGAGTTCTAAGCTGAACGCTTTCTCGGCTACTGCTTTATTACAATCTTCTTGGAAATATGGCGATGAGCATTTCGTCTTATTCCACCATTCGACGTGCCTATTTGCACTAAAGATTTAGCTTGTAATCGATCCGACTCCAAACGAATCGAAAGTTCAAATATTTGATGCGGCTACGTGTTTCTTTATTTATCTGTCGGATTTCCATTGAAACGATTAGATAAGTTTTATATAGTTTTAATTTCCTGAATTTATAAAGGTATTTTCTAAACAAATTTTGAAATTTTTCTCAATTGTTACAAGTGTCAATAGGGATCTTATTGGAACTGTTGATAATTTATAGTGACTTAAACATCAACTTACGTAAACCATGTGTCTCTTGTTAACTTGTTAATTGAAGCATGGTATAAATATTTATTATCTTCATCCAGGGGTTATTAATGCGGTTTCTCGGCTCCTAGATGTCGCACCTTGATCACCCCATTGCATAAGAATCTTAATTTGCGTACGATTATTTTCTAGATACATTGTTATATACTCATGCACGTCTTAAATATATTATAATATTAAGGATAGTTCATATTTATTCATCGCATGTGCAATTTTATTTAAAATAGCACTCTCAGAAAAATTAAAACAAATGCTTTAAACCTGTGAAAACGTTAAACCTAATATAACATAACTTAATATGTAATGTGAATCATGATTCTTATTTGAGTCACAATTCTCTTAAAATCAAAGCTTTAATAACATTTTGGTCTGATTGTTGAAGCTTGGCTCATATCTCGACAGCTTATATAGCTATCTCTTTAGCAATGTTGTCGTTAAGTTAAGCTTGTATGCTCGCCGTTTACCCATTTGTTGCGTAAATATTGATCTGTTTGATTTGTACAATTTCGTATTCAAAATAGCTCTCGACCATTGCGGAGTGAATTTTAAATACGATGAAACAAATTTCCCCCCTCCCGGTACAAGCGTATTCGTTTAATCCGTTTGAACCGGTTGAACTTGAGCTAAAAAGAAAACTAATTCAGGTCAAACAGGTCCGTGGTCCACTTATGAAAAAAAGGAGCATCGTAACCTGTGGGAAGTAGTCCGCGTCGTTCTCACTAACAATACAAGACACTCCAACCTTTCTCTCGTGTGTCCGTGGAAGCGAGACGGAGCGACGTTATCGTCTTATAGACGTATTGACGCTGCGGGCTAGTAAAGTCTCACGTGGCAATGTGGCCCGTAAATTTTGGAAAGTAAAGGAGATACTGGCATGAGAGATGTCCGAATACTTGTTTTACCACCACCCATAGTGAGTGAGGCCCCGAGACGCTCGCGAGGCGTCGGCCGAAAGCTGGTCGATTCCCCGGTGAAAGTTTTTTCGACCTCACACTAACATTCTGATATTAGCTCGCTTTATATTTCCCTGTTGCCTCTCAGTCTTGCAACGTAAACGTCTCGTGGGTGCGTTTATGAATCAGTCGTTTTTGTTGCGTTAATTATCGTCCATCGGCTTTGAAGCTCTCTCTAGACTTAAACACGACACACGTTTTCGCTGCTGTACGTGTGCACTGAAGATCTAAATCGGTGTCGTTACTTCATCGCCTTCATTCAACAACTCCTTAATGCTGTACATCAACTGTCATGCAAATAGAATACGTGCACGTGGTATAACGCCCAAGACACGATCATTGTGCAACTATTCCCTCCTTATATAAATATATTTGTAGAACCTATTCCGTCCATTAGGTTTGTCAAGGCGTTTTTCGTAAGGCCTGACACAATGTGCTATCGGGGTCACAACTGTTTGATGGCGTATTCGAATGACTGATGAAAAAAGGTGGTAAAATAAACGAATCTCATGTTGCCTTTTGAAGTTTCATGTCTGCAAAAAAGTAATAAGTAAAATAAAATATGTCGTGTCCGTACAAAATCCCCAAACGATCGCGACTGTTCATTGGTATTCCCCAGACCCAGACTGATTTGAATAGAAACGGAGCGTAACAAACGTGCGTACTAGCGCGTACAGAGATACGGACGCCGTACTGGGGCCGAAGCCGCTGCGTTGGAATCTCGCTGCTTCTATTAGCGCAACTTGTACGCCTCCCGCGTTGAAGGGTGTCCTTCACGAAAAAAACGCCCGGTGCGCATGCGAGCTACGTCGCGAGCCGATGTCATCTCAGTGGCGTCCTATGAATCGTTTATCGCTTTGTGATGTCGTTCACGTTGCTTCCTGCCCGCTCCTGCAGCTCTGGTACATTTATGGCGTCTCGGGTCTATTTATAATCCGTAATGGTGTCAACTCTGCGTCATCTGATCGAGTGCCTTCGCCTTTGTAGTTTGTGCCTCCGTGTATTATTATGGATTACGACAGTCCGTCATTAAATCCGATGAAAAACTTTACTTAGACAATGGAAATGTGTTGCCCTTTTATTACCGATAGAAGAAAAATTGTTTTTTTTTTCTTGTGTATATTTTAATCAAAAAAATTGTTTTACGAATATATCGAATATTCGTAAAACAATTTTTTTGATATGTAAAATGTCTTGAATAGTTTTGTGACATATTTGAATCGTTCTTTGGAATTAGCGCATGAGTATGTGCGAAAACTAGAATGGCATCAATTCACGGATGTTGTTTCACAACGCGAACCTCACTCAGCCAGAGTTCTAATAACCTGTATTTGAGTTATGTCATACGAACATTTGCGTGTTGACTTTTTCAAGCGCTGTCTATTTGATCCCGCCGTGTACGCGCGGGTGTGCAAACTTTGGGTGTCACGATAACGGGGCGTGTCCGTTTGACCATAGACGTGTTTGGAACTGTTGCTAGGCGCAGGTGGGGCATTGTTTGCGCGGCCTCGAAACGGGATTACGCTTTGAACACATCATCGCACCTCACCCGTTCCGTCCGATAAAATGTTTTTTTTTATATAAGAAGATGGCAAGCGAGCTGGCGGTTCGCCTGATGTTAACACTGCTACGTTAGTAATCTTTACCGTACAGTAAATGTTTCGTTACGTAACAAAAAAACCTACGACTGGTCATCGAACCGGCCGCCGCTTTGGACGCGATTTAAATGAAGGAATGTTACAATAGGCGAGGTCGTCAAGGATGCTCCATCGACGTCAGCGGCGGTATTGCCGATTCGTATCGTACCCGCGGCCATTGTTCAGAATATGTCGCGCACTCATTGTTCACCGGGCCGCTCAGACGCGGAATGCCGCGGGATACCGTGTTTTAATTGAGCGACACGCGTCTGGAATATTATATCTGAACGATACATATGTGTGTACGTTCGTCCAATTCGCATTTGTCTCATTGCGGCACCCTGTTGTATTTTATCCGTGGTGCAATTCCGCTCTGTCGCTTAACAACACCTTTTGTATGTCAGCCGGCACAGCCCGCCGCTTTGAATCCGGCACTATTTTTGGAAGTGACAAGTTTTTGTGAGTTGCGTCATAAGTTCCGTTTAGAAAATGATTAATATGTATTATAAATGTATATGTTTTTATTAGTAAAAAAAAGTAAATTAACATCTTATCTATGTCCCACTGCTGGGCAAAAGCCTCCGAATTAACGGGTAGTTCAACACGTGACCCCCTTGCGGATTGGCGGATTTCACGTATCTTCGAAATATATCTTTTATGGAAACATGTAGGTTTTCCTTTCTGGTTTCCTTCACGGTTGACCAGGTCACAAATATGTTATTACAAATAACTTGAGACGAATATGCGACAGGCGATCTGGAAATCTGCTTTTTAATAGTTTGCATTAATTTATGATCGTTTGTAAGACGATTAGGAAAGTTTCGGCGGTCTCTAATTTGGTATTCAGTTTGGTACGGTCATAATAAATTATAGCGTGTTAAGGCATACCGGCGGGTGGATAGTCTCGGTCCCGTTTTGAAGGACGGTCATCGCGCCGCTGCTTTCACCGCATGCTGAGGGGGGCGGGGAGGTGTTGACTTCGACTTTGTATCGTCGATTCTTATTGTGGGTATCGATTTTGTAAAATCATTCGAATCGAACGTGTTCCTTATTGATCTACTCATGAAATTGTTTCTTCTTTTGTGTTTCCTTAATGCAAGGTGAACAACCAATTGAATACAATTGGTCTATTACAATTGATCCAAACACCAGCAGGTGGCATAGTAGTTAAGTACTAGTCGGTATCCAGTTAAAAAAAACATTTGCAATTAACGTGTCAAGAAACGACACCGAAAATCGGTGCGGTCAAGTCGAGCCCTCTTTAACCGTTACCACCCTTTTGATCTTTCCATTTTACGCAATCCCTTCGCTGTTACTGTGCAAGAGATTTCGCGGTATTGTTTCATGTCGGTCATTACGATTTGGGGAAATCTGCGCTGAGGAATTCGCTTTGGTCCACCTTTGACGTAAGC